AGATGCTCAGGTGTTAATCTGGTTCCTGTTGAACGATTCCATTGATCCATCCCACCTACATATGGGAATTCCAGAGATAGATTGTTGGAATGGAATGCGCACTCTCTCCCTGCAGGGACACATTTTGCTTACCTAATACAGGAAAGTATTTGGCACAGGTTGGTTAGAGCAAAGGCTGGCAGTGTGTGTGTTGGGGTACTGCTGGAGTCCAACCAGCTAAAACCACATAGCTTGCCATTGTATGGCAAACCTTCCCACTGCTTGTCCAGCTAGGACTACCCAACCCATTAGGGCTTTGGCTCGCTGGATTAATAGGAACTGAGTGGGAGGATTCGCTGCCCCCAGTGATTGATCTGCCCTTTCAAGTCCTGCCAATGAGTCTGCCTGCACTGTGCTGTCATCAACGGTGCCCTGGAATACTGCGGATCTGCCTGGCACAGGAACCGGACTAGAGCCAGTTCAGCTCCAAGGAGACCCCGCTTACCTCCCACCAAAGGAGGATGCTCCAAATTACTCATCCTTTCTTCATACCTATATTACCTGACACCCAATATTATTACCCCCCTCTCATTGCCTATGACATTCCTACAAATACACACAGTACATCACTTTACATTATATTCTGTCAAGAACTCTGAGATGTCGTGATAAGGCTCAATATCAAATGCAAGAATTATTACTATTATTACTACTATTATTATCCTAATGTGAATACAACTGTAATCTAAACAATTTTATCATAACCTATGTTGTATTAAATGCTTCTGCTTATGAATGAATGGCTCTAGTGTTGTTAAGAAAATAGATTTAAGAAGAAACACTTGGGAATTAGAAATATTAAAGGAAATAGTAATAATAATAATCCTTGCATTGATTCAGCCCTGTATCATGTCAGGAGGATGTGTCAAAGCACTTCACAGGACATACCATAAAATGGATTGGCTGTGTGTTTTGACTGTATTTTGTAATATTTGAGAAGTGTCGCTCATCACAGTGATATTAGTCTGTGTATGAGCTGAAAGCGTATATTAAAAAAAATCAGACCAGCGAGCCTACAGTTTCCCAGGATACAGATAACATAAAATGATTGTTGTGGTTATTAAGCAGGGAATTTGATGTTCCGAATATATATTCAATCTCGACTCTCTACCCCCTCCTCGCTCCCTCCCTTCCCTCCCCTCACCCTGACCATTTCCCCACTGCTCGGGTCCTGACCCAACTGTACAGCGCCTTGGGACGTCCTCCCGACGTGAAAGGCGCTCAATAAATGGAATCTTGTTGTTGTTGTTGTTGAATGGTTTTCTCTATACGATGACCCTAACTCCAGGATGTTAAGTGCCTTGGGACGTCCTCCCGACATGAAAGGTGCTCTATAAATGAAATGTTGTTGTTAATCCCAGTCTGGGGAGAACAAGCCCCACACTGCACCAATGCAAAATTTTTGTTTCCCACACCAGCCATTCTTCTAGTCTTTCTGATTGGTGGCGAATTTGTACTTGAACTTGGCTCAGTAGGACCTGGACTGGTAATGTCCAAACACATTCTGCCTGGGACTGCTACAGTCAGCAGTGAGAGATGAAGCTTTTATCCCATCAGTTTGAGGAAGATTTGAACCCAGCTGCCAAAGGTAAAAGGCAATATGCAATTCACAAAACTCTAGCAGTCTCTTTGAACTTCCTAAACATAATACAGTAAACTCCCAATAACTAAACACTGTCTTAACTTGTCACTACCGCTTAAGCCATCGTGCTATCAATCTGCAGCTACATTTATTTATGTATTCATTCACATGCATAACTCACCACTCTGAATAACTTGTCACTGAGCCCATTTCCCTTAGAGTGACCAGTTATCAGAAGTTTAGTGTAATAATCCTTACATTTGATACAGCACCATCACATCATGAGGACATCGCAAAGCACTTCACAAAATGTACTGTAAATTGTAGTGATTTTGCATGTGAATGCGGCAGCCAATTTGCGTAATGTTCCAGAAACAGACATGAAGTGGATGATGGAGTTTATCTGGGGTACCAACATTATTTGGCGGATTGTTGGCCGGAACACTGGGAATAGTGCTGGCTTCCATTTGCTAGCTATGGTTGTTATTGGCAATTGTAGTACCTTAAACACTAACCTGCTGAATGTTAACTCAACGGTGAAGCAACTGGATTTTTATCACGCTGATAAGCTCAAAACATCGCAAACTGTTTTACAGCAATGACTGTCATGTGTCCTGATTTTTTTAATGCATGTATTCTATGCATAACAAAGTCCCACAGACAGCCTTAATGTGAAGGGTTGTTGGCCATGATATCAGGTGAACCTCCCTTCTCTTTCTGAGTTGTGCTGAACATCTTATCTGAAGGACAACATCCCCCCCCCCCCACCCCGGTACTGCAAATAGACAGGAGATTCAGCCTTCTGGCATGTATGACCTCATGGGTCAGGCTTTTGTCTGCTGAGTGAGGCAGCTTAAGACCAATATTGTAGAGGTTGAAATGAGAAACGGGGGGAGGGTCCCAAGACCTTTAATAGAGAGCAATACTACTGTAGAAATGAATGGATGCATGGTACTAGTTGTGTTTTGTAAACCTGATGGTCGCAGGCACATGTGTCCTGAACTACCTATGTACTATATAACATAATATTATTTCCTAAAAGAAAACTATCTAATCTGTGTTTGAAGGAATCTAGCATTTCTTATGTTCTTAAGTTCTTATATATTTGAATTTGTACATAGACCATCTCCCAGAGTAACACTTCAATGGCTGGTCTCTTGCACACTGTAAATGATAAGATCCACTAATAGTTGGACAATGATGAGAGCTGATAGGGCAGATGAAGAGCTAACCTCTCACATTATCAACCTGCTTTTGGTAATCAATAAGGTTCCCTTATAATCCAATAAACAAGGAGAAAAGCAAAGCCTTTTAACACAAACGAGTAAGGAGCTCCAGCCTGATTTCGAAAGCTAGCTAATTCCCTCTCTATTCAGTCCTTACAATGTGGCAACAAGCAATATAACAGTAGCATTCTACTAATTGATACATCCTTAATACAAGGGGGTGTTCATCCTACCCTTCTTCGCCACCCCCCCCCCCCCTCCCCCACCACAGCCCCCTCTCTATAATGCACAGAATGAAAATACACTTAACTCCTGATAACTCATCACTCCAAGGGAAAAGGGCTCAATGGCGAGTTATCAGACATGTGTAGTTTCAATCAGGGGTCAATACTCCAGCTTTAACATTGATAAAAGAGAGAATGCCGGATATAGACAATGCTCTTTAGTTATCTCTGTCTCAACCCACTTTCCAGTAAATTCCTGTGAAGCACTTTGAGACATCTCGACGATGTGATAAGGCGCTATAACAAATGCAAGGATTATTACCTAGTGGTTATTAGTTGTCTCTCCCCCCCCCCCCCCCCCCCCCCCCCCAGATCTGCCCTCCAATGTGAAAGACAGGCCAGGGCTGGGGGCAGGGGAACCTCCATTTCCTGTCAGTAACCTGCTTTCTTCAGTCTCCTCTTTACACGGAGCGGCAGCTCAGTGATGGCTAACATGCTCCTGTCTCTCGCTAACAGATCAACTCGGGTTTCTGTAAAGTGAAATGCAGTGAAATGGAAACTCAACGGTTGACAATGCTGGAGCTCTCCTGTGTCCATAATTACATCCGAAAATCAATCCACTCGACTAATTGTTGACACAAAACACCCACACTTACTGTAAATATCTGCGTCTGTCCCTGCGCTCAGGCCAGACTGGTACAGCCCTCCGCTCCCATTAATATTTGTATGAATAAATAAGATGTTGCGTTGCTCTTACCCATAAGATAACACAACATCGCTATTTTGCGGCTATTCCATTCGGAATGTGCTCCGTGTGATCGATTAACTGTGCAGTATCAGTCATCTATACGATGCTTTCTTCTAATGTATCACATTTCTGTAATTCAATTTACTGATGGGGACACAGACCCCGAGCTGATCCGCCATCACTTTGACGACCTCTTTTACGGTATCAATAATCTACAGTGGGGGCAGGGGGAGGGGATCGATCATTTTGATTAATCAACCATATTGGGAAGGTAGTGCACTGGACTGGCCACGATTTCTCATGGGAAATATTGAATCTTCTTGAAAGGTGCATGTAATATCTTACATTCAGTGATGACACTTGCCATGTTATTTCAGTCGGATTATCAGGCACCACACGAGCTCTCACATCGCCCCACCCCGCATGGAGCAAACTGAGAGGTTTCCACTGAAAGCCGGACCCTGGGATCTCCCCCACCCCCACCCCGTTTCCTCTCCTTCATCAATCCACTGCATCAGTCACATAAACAACGCTCAGCGTGTGCCACCACAGCGCCCGCATAACAACACCAGGGCTGGCGTTACATTCCCTTCACAGTATAGTATTGGAGGCATCATCATCATCATCATCATCATCAGTCTACATGATGGTCGCCTTCTGCTGTTTGGGGGCAGTGGATGGATAATGGCAGTGTGTGAGGAACGAAGCACCAGTCTCTTCCCCTCTCCCTCTGTGTCCCCCTCTCTTTCTCTCCCTTTCCGTCTCCCTCCATATCTCCCCCTTCTCTCTCCCTCTCTCTCTTCCCTCCCTCCCTCTTTCGCCTCTCTCTCTCTCTCTCTCCCTCTTTCGCTTCCTCCTCTCTCTCCTTCTATATCCTTCCCCCCTTTGCGTCTCTCCACCTGTCTCCAACTCTCCCTGTCTCTCCTTCTCTATCCAACCCTCTCTCCCCCATCTCCCCCCTCCCCGGCTCCCACTCTCTTTCTACATAAACTCCCCGACCTGAGTACCCGCTGACAGCTGGTCTTGTAGATAGTGGATCTCTCTCCCCTCTCTCTCCCCCCAACTCCTCTCTCTCCCCCTCTCTCTCTCCCTTTCTCAGTCTCTCTCTCTCCCCCCCTCTCCCCCCTCCCCCCCCCTCTCCCCCACCCCCTCTCTGGCTATATAACCCCCAGTCTGCTTACCCGCTAGTAGCTGCATCCAGGCACAGATCTTGTAGACAGTGGCCGTGTTACAGAAGAAGAAGAGCGCGAAGCAGGTGATGCAGGTGAGGATCAGCACCATGGACAGCAGCACGAACAGCGCCGCCGCCTTGAAGGCCCCGGAGGGGATGCTGTCGAAATCTGCGAAGGTTCCCTGGCAGCTGAGGTCCCGGCTGGTCACTCCCGTCCCCACACAGTAATGGAAGAGGCCGAAATAGCCAGGATACGGGGTGTTCACACTGTCCCCGATCCAGTAAGGCTGAATAAACACCACCACGTTAATAATGGCGAAGCAGATGGTGAAGATGGCCCAGAGAACGCCGATGGCCCTGGAATTCCGCATGTAATTGTCGTGGTAGATCTTGGACGCCTCCTGTGAAGGTAACATTTTCTCTTTCTCTCGCTCCCTCCTCAGTGGATGGCAATTAATTCCTCCTTTTCAATGCAACCTCAAGGCCCGACCTTATCCTCTTTTCTCTCTCTCTTTAAAAATATATATTAAAAAAATAAAATTTCAAGGATGTAAAGGAGAAAGAAATAGAATCTGGAGGCGGCTATGTGTTGAGATGCTCCATCTTCCCCCGATGATCTCTCTCTCTCTCTCTCTCTGATTCTCTCTCTCTCCCCTGCGCGCCCCCGACAGTTTGCTGTTCAGTAGATGCGCGTTCCTGAGCTGATGCAGTGTTGCTGGGAGTATCTCCCGCAGCTTCACGGTTTACCAGCCTGGGCTCCTCTGATTGTGCTCGATATTAAACCACAGCATCACTGACCAGGCTTTGCTGTGGCGGTGGGGAACAACCTGCCCAGCAAAATACAATCAATTTCACAGAAACATTTCCACATCATCCAATGTGAATCTGTCAAATGGAGACCCTTTGAGAGTGGATGTTGTAGTGACTGCCATCCTCAGTTTTCTTTTAACCAGTTGGGTGTATGACAAATGCGGAAACCCATCACAGTGCTTAAAAATATCCAAACCAAGCTGCGAATTCCATGCATCCCAGCTACACATGGGAATTCCAGAGATAAATTGTTGGAATGGAATGCACACTCTATAGACTTGATCAAGTGCGTTAATAGTGGCATCAGCCATCTCTTTCTGTTGAGCAACATCTATAATAATAATCCTTGCATTTGATATAGCGTTTTCACGTCTTCTCGACGTCTCAAAGCGCTTCACAGAATAGACTGTAAAGTGAATTTACTGTACATTTGTGGGCAAAACATGGCAGCCAATTGCGCACAGTAGTGTCCCACAAAGAGTCGTGGATTGAAAATGACCAATTTATTATTTTTTGGGGAAGGATTATTATTAGGCGTGTGGAGTAAGGAAACTTGCCCAAGGTTTCGCCCCCTGCCTGGAATTGAACCCAGGTGTCTCGCTTGCAAGGCAAGTGCTCTAACCACTGAGCTACAGGACTCCGTGCTTTATCAAATTGTTGAGACGTCTCAAAACACTTCACAAGATATACTGCAAGAGGACTGACTGTGTATTTTGTGGGCAAAATATGGCAGCCAGTTGCTAAAGCAGTGTCCCACAAATAGCTGTGGACTGAATGACCATCATCATTTGGTGGACTGTTGGCCAGGACAGCCAGAGAGAGAAACTCCCTTTTCTTTATGAATAGTGCCATGGGATCTTTAACATCCACCTGAACAGGCAGGCGAGACCTCAGTTTAACGTCTCATGTGCAGGACGGCACCTCTGATAATGCAACACTCCCCGAGCACTCCTTTGGAGTAACAACTTAGACAATGTGATTCCAAGTCCCAACGTGGGCATGGCAACTAAGCCTACCAATACAAATCATCAAGGAAAATCTCAGGGGAGTAAATTCTGTTCACAGCACACCCTCTAACCATTAGGAACATCTCAATTAGCAAGTCAATTAGCAGTTAATCATATACCAGGTGTTGAGGATTAAAAAATCTGCTGACCAGTCGAAACTGGGTCTTTTGTTTGAGTCCTATAGAAAGGAGAAGACTTGTGAGTGCCTCACTTGAGCAGAGAGTCCAGCAGAGTGAGGAGGGAACTGAGTGAGGTGGAACAGAGTGAGAATTCTGTTAAGGAATTTGGTGTCAGAGGAAAATTGGTGCAGAGGAGTAAAGTGGTGCATAATTATAAATCATAATATTTATATTAAAACAAAATAAAACATGTCTGGGAATATGTCAGTGCAGCTGAGACCGGTTGCATGCACACTGTGTGCCATGTGGGAACTCCAGGATGCTTTGTGTGCCCTGGACAAACGTGTGTAAGAAGTGCCACTGGCTGTTTGAGCTTGAGTTTCAGGGTTTCTGAGCTTGAGGAGAGGCTGGTGTCACTACATAGCATACGGGAGGCTGAAGAGTTCACGGATCAAACGTTTCAGGAAGTGGCCACCCCACAGCCACAGAGGGTTCAGGAGGAGAGTGAATGGGTGACCACCTGGCATGGTAGGAAGAAGGGACGGGCAGTGCAGAAATCCCCTGAGAGTGTGGCACTCACAAACCGGTTCACTATACTGAATACTGGTCAGGGTGATGACACCTCTGGTGAGGGGAGTCAAAACCCAATGGATGTACAGGGGGACTCAGGGAAGAGTGTCAATACAATTGTCATTACGGACACAATGGTGAAAGGAGTAGACAGGCGTCTGCAACCAAAAATGTGACTCTCACATGGTATGTTGCCTCCCTGGTGCCAGGGTTGAAGATATCATGGAAAGGGTGCAAAACATTCTACAGGAGGAAGGAGAATATCCAGAAGTCGTGGTCCATGTTGGGATCCATGACACAGGGAAAAAAAGGGCTGAGATCCTACAGGGAGGGTATTAGAAGCAAGGGAATTACCAAGTTTGCAGATGATACTAAGCTAGGAAAAGTAGTAAACAGTGGGGATGATAGCAGCAGACTGCAGGAGGACATAGACAGACTGGTAACATGGGCAGACAGGGGGCAGATGAAGTTTAATGTGGAAAAATGTGAAGTGATGCATTTTGGGAGGAAGAATGAGGAGAGACAATATACACTGATGGTACAATCTTAAAGGGGTGAAGGAACAGAGAGACCTGGGGGTTCATTTAAGTAAATCTTTGTAGATAAACCTGTTAAAAAAGCATATGGGATACTAGGCTTTATAAATAGGGACATAGAATACAAAAGGCAGGTTATGATGAATCTTTAAAAAACACTGGTTAGGCCTCAGCGAGAGACTGTGTTCAGTTCTGGGCCCCACACTTTAGGAAGGATGTCAAGGGCATTGGAGAGGGTGAAAAGGTGATTTACCAGGATGGCACCAGGAATGAGGGACTAAATTATCAGGAGAGGTTAGTGAATCAAGGATTATTCTCCTTGGAGCAGAGAAGGTTAAGAGGAGACTTAATAGAAGTTTTCAAATTTATGAGGGGATTCGATAGGGTGAACAAGGAGGAACTATTTCCAGTGGTGGGTCGGTCAGTAACCTGAGGGCACTGATTTAAAATAGTTGTTAAAAGAAACAGGGGGGTGAGGAGAATTTTTTTCACACAGCGAGTTCTTTGGATCTGGAATGCACGGAAGCTGATTCGATAACAACTTTTAAGAGAGAAGTAGATAATTATTTGGGGAGGACAAGTTTGCAGGGCTATGGGGAGAGAGTGGGGGAGTGGAGGGATCATTAGGCAATAGATTGTTGAAATGGGTGACATATCCTGCTTATCTTACCTGAAATCTTGTTGTTGTTATCTAATTCCAAAAAGTATTAGACCTGAGAGACCTGAGCTCAATTCCAGGCAGAGGGCGAAACCTTGGGCAAGTTTCCTTACTCCACACAGAGCCTAATAATAATCCCTCCAAAACCCCAAACAATAATAAATTGGTCATTTTCAATCTACGACTGTTTGTGGGACATTGCTGTGAGCAATTGGCTGCCACGTTCGCCCACAAATATACAATCAATTCACTTATAGTGTGCTGTGAAGCGCTTTGGGACATCCTCCCGACGTGAAAAGCGCTATATCAAATGCAGGGATTATTATTATCTCTGGGATTTCCATGTCTAGGTGGGTTGCATGGAAATCTCGGCTTGGTTTCAATACTCGTAAGCATGGTGATGGGTTTCAGACACCTGGCTGACAAAAAAAAACAAATAGGTAGATATAATCCCTTACCACATCATCAAATGCTTCACAAGATTTACAAAAAATTTAGTGACTTAGAAATTGGTAAGCGAACAGCAATGTCCCCTAAACAGCCATGGAGAAAATGATCAATTTTATTTGGGGAATTATTTGCCAGGAAACAGAGAGAAACTTTCTTCTGATTTACAATAGTATTATCCAACTGTATGGGGAAGAATAATGCAAGGATTATTATTATTAGGCACACATTGGCAAGAGCCAAGGTTTGGAGACCCAAGAGTGTGAGTTTGGATACTGTTTGTGTCTAACCAGCTAAAACTACATAGTTTGCCATTGATATTGCTGTCTGACAAGCTTTCCCACTGCTTGTTCAGCTAGGACCACCCTACCTGTTAGGCCTTTGGCTTGCAGGGTTAACCAGACTTGAGTGGGATGACTCCTTGCCCTCCCCCCATCCGCCAGTGACTGGACTGCACTTCCAGGTCATGCCGATGAGCCAGACTGGCTGTGCTGTTATTAGCAGTGCCCTAGAATACTGCGGATCCATCCGGCTCAGGAACCGGACTACCAAAACCGCCAGAGGGCTGGCTCGATTCCCGACATTCCATTGCCAAGCCTGTCACCTTTGAACCAGTTCAGCTCCATAGAGACCACACTTACCTCCCCCAAGGAGGATAGTCACTAGATGGTCGTTCAACACCTGGCAGGTACAGATCAGACGAATTAGAAAGTTGCAGCTTCGAACCTTGGTGTGAAGCCTGGTTAATCTTAACCAGCAGAACAAATGTGGGGCTACAATTGACCTCACTAGTTGGAGTGCTGTGTCAAAAGTGTTGTCCTTTGGTTGAGATATCAGCAAGGTCCCAGCTGCCTGTTCAGATAGATATCGAGTTCAGATTCCCAGGAGCCTACTCAAGCTATATAATGCTTTGGTCAGATCATACCATAGGTGGTGGGTGAAAATATACTGGGGTGGGGGCTAAGTAAAACTTAGGTAAATGGTCAGTTGGCTTGACTGACAGGTTCATTCGCTAATTAGAGGTGAGGATGCTCCAACAAGCAGCCCAACAGACTGGAAGTGGGTGGTAGCCGCCAACGAGTTGGGAGAGGGGCAAGAGGGGTGGCAGGTTGGGGCTGCTTGCAGTGGTCCTAATACCGATCCCTGGGGGACGCCACTGTACACTTCCCTCCAGTCAGAAAAGCAGCCGTTCACCACAACTCTCTGCTTTCTGTCTCCCATCCAGTTCTGGATCCATACTGCCACTGTCCCTTTTATACCATGGGCTTCTGTGTTTCTTACAAGTCTTTCATGTGGCACTTTGTCAAATGCCTTTTGAAAGTCCATATAAATTACATTAACTGCACTACCTTTATCCACCCTCTCGGTTACCTCATCGAAAAATTCTATTACATTTGTTAGACAAGATTTGCCTCTAACAAATCCGTGCTGACTGTCCCTAATTAACCCATATTCTTCTGAGTAAAGATTTATTCTGTCCCGGATTATAGTCTGCAGGAGTTTCCCCACTACT